GAATTTGAGATTCGTTTTTGATGATTGAAGGAATTTTTGTATCTTGACAGTTGTTTTAACGAAATTTTTTGTTGAATTATTTCTGTGAAAGTTTGCTTCTAGCAATTTTCAGTTCGAATTTCAGAGCTGGAGTATAATTTTCTGAGTGTCGAAAAATGAATTTCAGATTGGTTTTTGAGGACGCAAGGAAGTTGTATATATTCATTCCGTTATTCTTTTATTACCATTAACATTATCGTCACTTGTTGTACCATCGTCCATATTCTCTTCATTTCTTTTCTAACAACATCAACATTATTCACTTTTTCATCCAGTTTCAACATCGTCTCGGTGACTCATTGCAAAAAAATCATCGAGTATCCTGTTTGGGTAGCGTCATGTGCAGACCATGAGCAATCCGGTGTGGAATTTCCGGTGTCGAGGAGCCGTTGCTTCCCGTGCAATTTCTACGTCTTCCCCAGAGATTAAGAGCGGCGACAGAACCGGACGACGTTTTCCATGCAATTAGTTACGGGCACAGGAAGAGCCATGTTTGAGCGGAACGCGAGCGGGTCACGTGAAGCCAGAAAACGCGTAATCAGGGTCGCGTGACCGAAGACCCTGACCGTGGCCCACTGATGAGAAATTTCGTGCTGGGAAATTGGCCATAAAGCAATTCACAGAGACGAAGAATAATTAAGGAATCTTCAATATTTTTTCTTAAACCTTCAATTCAGACGGCGAGAATTTTGAACAGTAATATCTTTATTACACATTTGACACAGGTGTAGAGGCGGGGCTCAGTTAGAGATGCCATTATGCTTAACCTACTTAGAATTGGACGATTCAGCAGAGGTGAGATGTGAAATGAATAATTAATCTGCCAGCTTGGGAAGACGAGTCAACTCGTCATTGGTCAGCTAATACTTAGAACAGATTAGTTTATTTATAGAAGAATTAGTCATTTTTAACTGCACTGTTATGCTGTATTCATATTTGCAAGAGCCAAAATGAAGTATTTGGTTGTAATTTTTATTGATTTTTAATTATAAACTAGAGAGATTCAATTTCTGTTTGAGAGGTGAAGAGTTTGAGAGTTAGATTCAAGGTTTAATTAGTTACTTTCTTAGATTGAGTTAGTGTAGATGTAAAGAAGAAGAAATAAAGAAAGAGAGTTGATTTCAAGCTGAATTATTATAGATTGAAGGAGCTAAATTTAGTAGAGCAGTGTAATGGACTAGATAACATAAGAGAACATTAATTTCTCTCGGCAGATATTTTGTCAACTTTTGCTTCGATTTTGTTCCATAAATCAAAGTGATGAAAAACTTATCTAATACTAGCACCAGTATTTCTTGCAATTAATTCCTCTTATCATAAGTAACGAGTGTAATTCCCCATTTTAAGGCGTTTAACGATCTCTTGTTACTTCTTCAAAGTGGAAGATATGGTTGACGATAATTGTTGCAATAATTAGAGAATTCACACGAGCGGTAAAACACATTCGATTGAAAATCTTGAGGAGTTAGCCTGAGGATTTCACGAGTCCTTGAGCCATTAAGTTAAGTGTTATAAGCTGTAAATCATGCCAAGTTCTACCAGTTATTTCCTTCTTGATGTCGGAAAGGACTTCCTCGAGAGAGGCGCTGTATAAGGTGTAACTACTGCTAATGTAATACAATTAAAAAGTGAGCCTTTAAAATAGCAAAAGGAGAATCTTCTTGCTAATTGGAAGTACCACTTCACTTTCACTCAGTTACATTTTGCGGAATGGTGAGTTTAAAGCAATTATCACTGGCAATTACAAATTAATATACTTTCATTTCTGATGCTGGAATCCGTGCTTCGAAGACCGAGAGAAACTCCAAGTTTCGAATTTTTCTAATTCCTAAGATTCTAGGATTTAACGATTTCCACACTTTTAGTACTCAAATTTTCAGATGTCCAAAATTTCCAACATTTCAATATTCAAAGATTTCAAATTTCCAAGATTCTAAATTCCCAAATTTCCAAACTTTACACCTTCCAAATTTTCAAGACCGTAAGTCTCAAAATCCAAATTTCCAAACGAAAGATAAGCCTAAGCCTCGAAGAGTAAAATTTCCCACAAGGAAAGGGCGAAAGATAGTGAAAAAGCATTCAAGTGTCACGCAGCAGGTAGTCTACCAACACCTGTACGTAAAGGCAGCCTCAGAGCTGCCCTTTATAGGTCAGAGACTGCGTGGCCACCGTGAGCGAGCCAAACTCAGGTGATTCTCTTTTGACAGGGGCCGATTCGAGGTCTCCAGGTCGCGTCGTATGGATGTCCGCTCCATTTCATGGCTCGTCGTGTGACCACGAAGCCTACGAACTTATGGACTAATCTTTCATGACATCTAATGACCAATTACACTCTAATTGCCTTCGCAAGTAACTTTAATTCTTTACGTTTAAGATTTAGAATTTTTTAAATATATTTTTTATACAGAATTTAAAAACTCTGAATACCTTTTCTTTCAAAAACTACTCGATACAAAAATTGAACGGGAAATGGATCTTTTAATACCAAATATTAAGGTAGATTAAGATTCAAATTAATCCAAATAATAGGCACATCTATTGTATTAAATTTAATACAGAATATTTCTTATAAAAGTGCATGAATTTTGGTGCCGCCTTAATGGCCGCTTGCACCGCAACTCTCTTCACTGATCAATTTATTCTTCATTTCAAGACTCTACAGTCCAGTTAACGTACACTTTCTTGAAGCAAAAAAGGAACGTTTCAAGTTTTTCCCCATGGAAAGATATGAAAGCTGAATTAATCGAAAAATCCAACTGTCTGCGTGAACGTGACTGTAGAAAGAACCGTATCTTTCAATACTGATTACCCTGCAGAGTTCATACGATAGATACCTAAATCTTTCCACGAGATACATTACTCCAGCGAGAAACTATTCCGTTAAATATTTATGAACGCGATTCCATGCCTCGTGAATTCAATTATAACGTGTACTGTTTTCATGAGTAATTTGCGTTAGTTTGTTGCCCCTTAGCGATCTATATTCTTTCACCTGTGCTTCGTGCATAAATCAAAATCGTACATAAATCATCGTATTCGTTGTAGCGCATACGAAAATACTCCTCCAGTCATTTCTCAAGTGAACTTTTCGTTTTCGCTAAATTCGAAAGAACGTCGAACGCGAAAACTTTCTTCCAGGCTGAAGGAGCGTTCGCAAATGAACGTGTACTACTTTCTTTTCGCGCGTCCGACGAAGATCTAATCGGGTTCGATTAAAATTGTAAATGCGTCCCGGTAGGTGTTCAATTCGCTCGTGTTTCTGAGTAAGTTCTCGCGGATCAGGAGTATAATACCTTGAAACGGGCACTTCAGTTCCTCTTCGATTTACTTATCACGTTTATCCTTCTTTAAACGGACAATTATTCGAAAATGATGTCACATTTACATTATTCTCTTGGAAAAAAGAAGAAAAATGAAAAAGGGACTATTTCTGCTGAAGGCATAAATTTAATTGAAATAGACATCTTTCTGCTAATTATTTTAACGTCACATAGTAGATTTTATTATCCAGAATCTTTCTCACTTAATAATTTAAGATTTGGAATATTATAATTGAAGAATAACTTTTGTTTTTACGCATGCACCGATTTAATACCATTCGTTTAATAGAAAATTGCTCTTCTGTTGAATGGATTGGTCATGACTGATTCTTATGGCACGAAACGCGATAGTAATTTAGAAAGTGATATACTAGCATCCATAGTCATTTTATTTCCAAGCTCACAGTGGCTCTACTTACTCTGGATCTTCTCCAAACTACCCATAATCTTTCCTTCAATAAATTGCCAATGAGACAACATTCTTTTCTAAACAAATTTCTTCCAAATAACTACTCTCGCTTTTAATCCCAATCACCAAGAATGTAAAACCAAAACTTTCGAAGAATGTTCACTCGCACCAAGCAACGAAGAAAATCAATTTTAATACCTATAAAACAAGACTCTCTACTCTAATTTTTAACCCCAGTCACCAAGGATATAAAGCAAAATCCTCAAGGAGGATTTTCACTTGCACCAAAAACTCGTACAATTTCCCATTAACCAACGAAGAAAATTCAATTCACAACAGCCGGTTGCATCACAATCCATCATAAGAGAAAAGGAATCGCCCATCTCTCCAGAGAAAGACAGCCATTAGCGTTCCTCCATAAAATCGACTGGAATGTCCATTTCCCTCGGCACAATTCCAGACACCCCATCGGGCGAAGGGTTCGAGAGTCAGGTACAGCGACACGGCTTGCCAGGGAGTGCCTCTCCCAGAGGCAGAAACGCGGCTATCTGGGCACAAAAGAAAAGAGAGGGGCCTTGTGGGACGAGTAGTGGGGCCCAGTCGGTCGTAGTCTCACGCCTTCCGTCAGTTCTCAGTTCAACGAGGAGCGTACACCCGTGAACAGCTCGCCATTCCACTCTCAGTTCCTTCGACTCTCATTCTATCCACCATCAACACAATTCATCTTACACGTCGGTCTCTACAATAGAAAACCAGTGAAACAATTGGAAGAAGATCAAACAAGAAGAATATTCATCAAACAATATTATACAATATCTAAAGACAGAGGAATCAGTAGCGCCATCTTAGCGGCGTAGATCGTTCGTCGAGTCAAACGTCGAAGACGAAGTGACCGAGTGTCGTGCACGAGGGAATCATCGCGATTTTCGGCACTCATGAGACAAGAAGCAGCGTCTGAGACGATGGCCATTGGCCGCGCCTCTAAATTCCAGAAGAAATTCCTCGTCGAGTGAACGTTCTCTTCTGGTGGTCGCGTGTACCTGTCCGTCGCAGTGGATCGGTACACGTGGAGGTGAGGGGCGACCTGTAGGACGTGGACGTCACTGGCATACCTCAGGAGGACCTGGCCTGAACGAGCAGTGCAGCAGAAGACGACGAAGAAGAGGAAGAAGAAGAGGAAGAAGAAGGAGAGAGATTGGTGGGGGGTTTGGAAAAGGTTAGCAAGAGGGACATAGTGTGTAAGTGTGAGTGTGTGTTGTAAGAGGGACGCCAGGTGGAAGAGGATAGAGGAGAGGCGCGCCAGGTACCGTGGCCAGAGTGGTGGGGAACCGTCAGAAGGCGGCCATAATGGCCTGACGCGATCTCGAGCGAACGGCGGCGGCTACAGCTGCTGCGAAATAGCCGTGAGCGTAACCACGGCCCGCTCCGTCGTCGTTCGTCCACGCGAGCGTATATTTTGCAACGGGCAACGCGTATCGTTTGGAAAGTGACTGCGTAACCGCGTTAGTGGAGTGTGTTACCGGGTGGAGTCGCTGACGTTTCGTTCGCGCGTGTGTCTGTGCCTCTTCGAATTCGTCTGATCGAATTCTACGTCGCGTTCTCTGTACCTTTACTTATTACACCAGTATCGATAATATTCTTTCTTCGAGAATGAGGGGCGCTAATCAGGAGACGGCTACGCCGTACTGTCGCTGCAGAGTTCTTTATCTAGGCAGCTCTGTGCCTCATGCCAGCAAAGAGGGTCTACTGGGTGTTCAGGAACCTCTCAGGGAGTTGTATCCTGAACAGGGTGCACTAGGAGCGCGTGGAATCGATTCTTGGTTGAGTGTCTGGAGCAATGGACTGTTACTGGAGAACGTGGACGAACACCGGAAGAAAGTCACCAGGTTCTTCCCTATCGAGGCTCTGCACTACTGTGCCGCGGTTAGACACGTCAAAGGTGGCAACGGTGACTCCTCTAATACCAGGTTCCTACCGTTAGACTCACCGTTCGCCAGGACACCAAGTGCCAACCATCCACCCCTGTTCGCCGCTGTTCTGCGAAGGACCACTGGTATCAAGGTTCTCGAGTGTCACGCGTTCATATGCAAGCGCGACATGGCGGCCAACGCCCTGGTCAGATGTTGCTTCCACGCGTACGCGGATAGCAGCTACGCGAAGGGCCTGGATCCGACTACAACCACCACTAATGGAGTCACTGGTGGACATCCTTCGAACAACAGCCTGTATCACACTCTCGGTGGATCCAGTACCACTTTGGACAGTCCTCAGGCTACTCGTTTAGACGCTACGTCGACGGATGACCTCAGTTTGTACAACGGTGATGAGAACCATAAAGTTTGGGCGAGGGGTCGTGACGAAGTTGATGGATTGTACCAGGAACAGGGTACTCTGAGGAGCACCAAAGGCTCTAGACCTCGTCAGCTAGTAGCTCCACCTCCTCCACCGCCCCCGCCACCTCCACCAGCTCAACCTTTGCTCCTCGAAGAGTCTTCGTCCTCGTCAGTTCGTAGAAAAGCGAACAAGAAGCTGAAGAAGCTGAAAAGCAGGTCTCACGAGGATCCTCTGACACAGGCTCATCTGCATCCTCAACTGCACCAAGGAATGTACACCAATGGCCATGGACACCATACTCTAGGCCATCCTGTCAGACAGCAACACTATCACCCTCATCCCTTGCCACCCAGCAGCAGATCCGTGGCAGGAACCTTGGCTAGACCAGCTCCAGTTTTACTGGTACCAGCAGCCACGTTACCTAGGAAGGCTCATCATCATCCTAAGGGTCTTAGACCAATTCCAGCAGCGGCACCGATCGTTCCAGTCTACGCTCCGCTTCCTGTCGTGCCTCCTCCACCTGCTGCAGCGATTTATCCAGCGGGAACGTATGGAACAGCGGGGAACAGGGGCAGAAGACAGCATCCTGAAGGTGAATCCTCGACTCTTGGAGCTTCTAGAAGATTAGCCGCCTCTCACGCCGATCTAACCACTGCAGAGATGAACAGAGCAGCTGATAGTCCTGAGAACGAGTCTCGTTTCGGCACTGGGATCTACAGAAGAAAGGGACATCTGAACGAGAGAGCGTTCTCGTATAGTATTCGAGCTGAACACCGTAGCAGAAGCCATGGAAGCTTGGCTTCACTGGGCTTCAGCGGACAGAATGGCACTGCATTGCCTAAAGAGGAGAAGAAAGATAGGGAGATAGCTCAATTGGTGGCAGGATTGAATCTAGACGACAGTCCAGAGAGAACTCAGCCTCCAGTGAACTCCAGAAGCGGGTATTCTCATCATCATCATCAGCAACAACAGATGCAGCCACTACCAAGGCCTCGTCCTCGTTAGAGTCCTCGGGATGTTCGATTATTAATACATTGAATTTGGTGCGTCCAGGTCGAACGAGGATCCAAAGATGATCCTCCTGTTACTTTGACTATGGAAATGTGTTGTTCTGGAATAGACTATTCGGTTAGAGACAGTGAGATCTGACTATTGAAAGTGTTCGTCTAGCCCTGAAGTCTGGGGCAGACTTTTTCAATAAGGGCATCTGTTTCAATCAGAAGAGAGAGAAAGAGAGAGAGAGAGAGAGAGAGAAAGGGAAGAGTTCGTTCTTTTTTTTCATATGGGGAAAAAGGTCCGTGACGGAGGTTAGCGTGGAAAATCGCGATGGGTGGCCTGGTCAAGGCACGTCTGACTGGTTCAGGTGGCTTTCGATTCTTGGAAACAGCCTTGCCTGAGTAGGAAAATTACGGCCGCGGCAAAAAGGCCTCATCTTCGTCGCGCAGGTTTCTACTTACCTGTGACCTCGATCATCTTATCTCGAGAGTCGATCGCCTTTTGTCGAATTAAGGACTCCTCGATGAGTTCCTGGCTTTGTAGAAATCTTCCGTAAAGGTCGATTTCCAAGTATACTTCTTTACTGAATTTGTTGAAGATATTGTTTCTCGGTTGGTTAACATTCGATGATAATTATCTGTTGGCTTGATTATCGTCGAAGGAAGAAACTTGGTGACGCAATTTCTTCACGAAACGCTCGTCCTTTCGCGAAATGAACAGGCTAATTGGACGAGCTCGAATTATTGTCGCCTGCAAGATCGTTCTAATGGCTGGAGCTCGTTAGACACAGCCACGCTACCTCGTAATATTTCCTCTGAGAAAACGAGTCGGTAGCTTCGTGGAAACTAGGCTTCCAGTGGATCCACCAAATGAGAAAAATTATTAATAATCTTCAAACACTTTATTTATTCGTATAATTGGAGAAAAAGTAGGATATTGGTTAGGGTAATTGGTGGATCACTTAGTTTGTAATTTCAAATTCGAATTGCATTTCATTTGAGATAATTGGAGGATCATCTAATTAAAATTCATTCGTTAATTATCCTATTTGGAACGAATTTGTTGAAAAATTTCCTCTTGTTTCGTAACATTGAAAATTCATTAGAATTTGAGAATTATCGAAGAACCGTATCATTAATTTCCCCCCCTAGAAAGGGTAACGCGACGATTTAAATTCCTGGCTCGCCCGTGAGAACGTGAACGTTAATCTTAATTGCGTGAGAAAAAATTATGCAGCATACAGGGAAAAGCGGCGAGGGTTTCGAGACTCTCGAGTGTAAAATCAAAACTTCACATTTCACTTCCTTATAACTCGGAAAAATTCCGGTTTCTTTTCTTCATGTGTTTTTCCTCTTTTTTCGTTTCTTTTTATTTTTAAAGAAGCTAGCAAGTGAATAAATAACGTAGAGGACAAATTCCATACTAATGTTATTTCCATGACAAATCAGGTTTCGTAATTGCGATTAATTGCGAATCGGCCTTGCAGTACTAACCTCAAACTCAATTACAACCGCCAATTATGCGAATACATAAAACTTGGAAGAAACGCTTAATAATTATTGCAATCTTGCGATGTAGACTTTTTGATCTCTTTGATATTTTTTATTGCTTGTAATGCGTTGTTTTATTAATGGAACGCAATACTCTGGGAATATTAGCGGCGGAGATGGCAGGGGCTCTAACATTAGCATGGAGGAAATGGCTTACATCGTGTTTCTTCGATACGTGGCCCCATTTTTCCTTGAGAAAAATTAAACCGTGATAATAAACGACTTGTTAATGATCGTAGAGACACCTGAAGTTACTCAACTCTGACACATCGATGCGATTATACAGATCACGTGCATGAGAACGAATTCTGGGAAATCCAAGTTGCAATGTTCGATTAACGCAACTATGCTACTAGTCGGCAATGGTGTTCCCTACAATTAATTTTTAATTATGGCAATTAAAACGCGATTTACTAAAGGGAGAAATTTGTGGGACATTTGTTGAAGTTGACAATTGGGATAAAATATTGAAAATTACAAGCTTGAGGCTCGAATAGAAAATGTTAAAAATTCTGGCCCTCTGAAGAATTGGGAAATTATTAAAAATTAGAATTGAAGCCTCCAGATTATTGAAAATTTAGAATACTTCAATTTTCGAAATTAAAAAGATACACAAATTTGTGACTCGGATTAAAAGTATCGTAAGTAACAGAAATTCAAAATATCAAAAACTTCAAATCACAATTCTACGCAGGAATTCAGCGTTTAATTAACAGCGTTACCAAAACAGAGGGAGAGAAATAAAAATTCCGATTAACTGGTTGATATTTTTATGACTCAATTCAGCGGTGCGAGCGCGTCGAACATGCCTGTTTCGAAACTGGTTACAGACACCTCGCATACACGAACGAACACCCATTCCTATCGTCGCGTATGCATATACAATTAGACTCGATTATTATCGATTCCCGGCCGATGTCAGCCGGTTACGCGCGCCACATTTCGTCACTCCGATATTTTTTTCCCCTCGTGTATCGCTTGTGTTTACTCGTTCGCGCCAAAGAAACAAGTTACACCTGTGATAAACATTTTTACTGTTCATCGTATTGCCTGACTGAAAAAATTGGAAAAACTACAAGTAAGATCAAATCTTTTTCTGAAAAAAAAAAAAAAAAATGTCAATTGCATTTGACTAATAAAAATCACAAAAAATTTGCATGCTGAAGGAATCGCGAAGAAAGTGTCAAAAAGTGACTTTGACTGTTTCTGCAATCTTTCTGTAAGGTTCCTATAATTCCTATTAATTTAGACAACTTTTTCTCCATTCTCTTTTACAAAGTATGTAGTATACGATTCAACGTAAAAAAAGACGGGGAAAAAACGCTGTCCTCTCAAGGAGAGGGGAAAAAAGGGCGGTAAATGAACAGCAAACGAACGTATGCAAATGAACGGGTAACGTTGGAGGAACGCACGGTCGAGTTATTTCTTTTCTCTGTCCGCGCTTCATCGATCGCATTGATCGACTCGGTGAAAAGTGTCGCTTCTGTTTCGCAAGGGTTTCACCGTAACACGCGGCGATGCAAAAGAAAAGAAAAAAAGGAAGAAAAAACAAGGGATTGCGTGGTAACGCTTCAAGGTATCGCGAGTGCAATGGACCGAATTATGCTACTGAATGTATAATTCCTCGATATCGAATCCCACGTGCGCTCTGTTGCTACATTTGCCTCGCCTGGAATGACTGTTTAGCATTAACAGAGGCCTTTTAATGGAATTTCTTTGAAAAAAAGCATAGGTTTCGAAAATTATCTTCCGGATTAAAAATTAATTTAAATGATAATTCTTAATATTAGTGAAATTTGCGAATTTTCTGGGATAAAAATTCGCGAGTTAAATCTTTAACTGTGTCAATTTGAAATTATGTAATATATATGGGACCATTTTAATACATGAAACAGAGGTTATTATCACGAGAATTATCATTTCAATTATTTTTTGGAATAAAAATTCGCGCGTTAAGTATTCAACTGGTGCCCGTTTGAGATTATATGGGGTTTGTGGGATTATTTTAAAAATAAAATTGCCTTCTACTTTTGAATTTACGAACGAAACGAGGAAATGAGACAGAATTACTTTTATGTTTCACACTGGCGGGTATCTGTCGTTTGGTAAACGGAAACGAACACGTATGTAGGCAGGCCTTGCAAATCGCTTTTCGTAAGCGCGTTCGCGGTCAAAAGAGTTTATGAAACGCTGACCCACTGACACTTATCAGCTTATGAATTGAACTGAACGTGATTTTCTTGCGACACCACGAAAATTCCTTTCGCTGTTCGCGAAACAACGATTGTCGTCGCGGAAGCTTCGAGTCACGTTTAATGACACACCATTGTTCCCAACAAATCAACTGCAATTTCGTTACTGGCATGCATAAGTCATAGGCAAATTGGAAAAAAGATTGCAGAGAAGATACTCTAAAATCATTTCAATTTCAATTTTAATGCAGACGATCTAACAATGGTTCTATTTATTACAACGATAGGAGGAAGTAGCAAATTAATCGTCCAATTTTCTCAGTACCATTACTATACAGAATACAAATTATAGTAAATATAAAGCATACAAATGAAAGAGAGAAAGTGAAAATATTTGAAGTAATTTCAGTTTCACTTTCTTCATAATTCTAGATCCTCCAATTGTTTGATTTCAAATAAAAATTGAAGGTGAGAGAGATAAAAAGAGATTGAAAGAAATTTCAATTTCCTCCAATCGTCCTGTTCGTTACGACGAAGCAAGTACATATGTAGGTAGTCACTAAATTGGCCATCCAATTTTCCACGCTAAAATCGCGACATTTTTTGCCCCCCCGACAACGGCTATTTCCGTTTATTTTATACACACAAAGACAGTGCCTTCGTTTTTGTCCGTTTCTTATCCTGCAGCTTCGAGAGACAGCGCCATCGTGCGCTACCCCGAATGATCCAGCATGGGAATCAGTGCCAAACACCATAAAGCGTCCGACTTCGCGAACTCTGTCGTTCAGCTTTTTGCCCCTTTCGAGTGTCGTTTAATTCTTTCGCTCTATTGAATTTAAGCGAAGTGTCCTGTAGCCTAATCGACATGACAGGAGAATTTTCGTAGATTTGTATAGTCATTGGGTTATCAGAGTGGAACGCAGGTCACGTTTCTGTGCTTCACCAAAGTTAGCTTTTTCTTTGTCAAAAAATAATTAATTCCTTCTGAGAATTGTGCTTTTATGAAAAATTAATCCTCTTTAAAAAAAAAAGGTTGTATTCTTTAATTAAAAACGAGCGCAGAAATTTGGCTTCAATCTTTCAGACTTTTCGTAAAAATTGGCCTGCGTTTATGTCAAATTATCATACTCGTCATCTTTTATGGACTCACTGGAATGTTTTATTCATTCTCACCTGGTGTTTTTCAAAGCGAAAGGATTAAACGAAGCCTGAAAAGGGCTCTCGACACCACGCTGTCTTCCACGTCCTCGAGTTTCGAAATGGCGAACGGGGACAAGGTCGAAAATCCTTCTCTAGAAGAC